ACTCCCACCACTCATCAAACTTCTTATACCACTTTATGGTGGTGGAAGAACAATGCCTCTCGCAGATGGCACGGCCAATTAGGCTTGATGAGAGTACCTTTCAATAGGTTGAAGGAAGATAGCCCTTCATTAGGCTCCGTACAGTCTTATCGCCAGGGACAACCGTTCGAAGAGTGCAGCAACGAAGGTTACACATAATCACTTACACCCTCTAACCCTAGCACTTAGCTACCCTCTAGAGTTATAGTCCGTGAACCTTGGTACTGCAACAAACGACTTGCTCGAATGTTAGAACATTGTATAAACATGGGTACTATGCAAGGTACTTAACTTCATTCATAGCATAGATAATTAAAGAGGATTAATAAAGTAGAACTTCCCCCACCTTTTCAGTAGAATGTTCGGCTTAGACTTGAACTTGAAAGAAATCTCGAGGGCTCGACTCCTCGTAAAACTACATTCATTGGGGTCATGTCTTAGTGTCTTAACATGGAACTTATTCTTATACTTATACTTATAATCATACATAAGCTTTAGAAAAACTTTGCTCGCTTGGCTTCGCCTTGCTTGCATTCTTTTGAAAACATTCTTACTATAAGGCATTTGGACAATTGAACTCTTAGCTTGCTTGCTTACGGATACTATTCTAATCATCTAAGGTTCATCATGATCTCATTCAATGCTTTACAGCTCATACATGTCACATAAGCATGCTTTATAAACATAAGACTCACTTAAACAATTACACTTAGTCCTTTGACAAAACTTAACACGTGCTGCATTTTTAAAACGAGCATATCTTTCAACATACAGGTCGCATTAACATGATTCAAGTCTCATATTTCTCCTAAGACATGGTACTACAACTTTCATTTAGCACTCAAAAGCAAATAAGGTAAATACACGGTCCAAAACCAGCAAACATTCAGAGCTAAAATGCTGTCCAGAAATTTAAAATAAATTCATGCGCAGTTTTACGAAAACAGGTATCATTCACTACTCGGACCATATTTTTGCTTGATTCCAGAACCACATGAAGATAACACATAGAACTACATTTTCAATGAAGACTTCAGGTTCATTTGAGCACATTATCATATCAAAAACACACAAAACATCCAAACCTAACTGCAGCCAGATTTAAGAAAAACTGCTCGCGCAACAATTTTATAAAAATCATAACTTATTCGTTTTAAGTCAAAATTGCACTATTCCAAAGCTCACGTAAACACAACTGAACGAACTACATATCATATGAACAACTCGAAAACCGAAACGAAATCTCTGGGGCCTAAACTTCTTCCGAACAGACAACAATTAAACAACACGTTCACATACGATCATACCAATATCTTTCCGAACTTCTTAACATGTCAAAAGCAACTTAAAGCATTGGTTATAGGCATGTTCATCACATAATAAGACACAATTAAAACACATAAATTCACAACTCAATCAATTCTTTCGGAAGCCCGGCAAGGCTCCGACCAATTCCAATCCAACGTTAACTCAACAATTACTCGACTTAAGCAAGCGTAAGAGGTTCAATTATCTACTTTGAACACATTGATAATTCATTCATGATTATTCGAACTCGATATAACGTCCATAGGAGGTTAAGGCTTTAGGGTTTACCGCTCGGATAGAAAGGTAACGGTAATGGCTCGAAAGGGGCTCGAATGAGGGCTCGGTGAACTCGGCCGTGTACGTGGGGGCTGCTCAATTGTCGTGAATGTGGTCAGCCTGCTCGTTGAGACTCCACGATGGTCGAAGGTGGTGCTGGTCGTGGATGGTGGTGGCTTGCTGTGGGAACGATGATGGAGGCGGCTGCGATGAAGGGCAACTCGCGGTGGCTGCTCGACGATGATGACGGATGGCTGCTCGCGATGGCTGTGCGCGGAGTAGGACGATGGAATAGGGCTAAGGGACGGCGGAGGCTCGCGGTGACGAAAGGCTGCAGAGTTGCTGCTTCACGGTGGCTGTGGGCTCGCTGCGGTGGCCGTGGATCGTCGGAGTCGCGAACAAGGGGCCGATGGTGGTGCTGCTCGACGTTGCTCGACGATGGCGACTTGTTGCTTGCCCGACGAAGATGGTGGCTTCTCACGGTGGTCGAAGGCACGACTGGTGGTTGCTGCTCGATGATGGCGGCGCACGGTGGAGCTGGGGATGCTGGGAAGTGATCGCCGGTCGCTTCTCGTGGAGGGATGATGGCAATGAGGCTGCTTACAGTGGTTGCTGGACTGCTGCGCGGAGGATCGCCGGTGGAAGGCCTTCACAGAGGTAGCCGATGATGATGAGCGATGGTCGATGGAGGTGGCTGTGGGCTGGATGATGGTCGATGATGCCTGCTGCTGGGACGATGAAGATGGTGATGGTGGAGCGATGAAGCTTCGATGATGAATAATGGTGATGACAGTGATGTTGACGATGAGCGTGGGAGAGAGAGGAAGAGAGATACCGATAGAGAATGAGAGAGATCGGCCGAAAGATAAAGGAAAGAGATTTGTAATGTGTGGGGTTTGATACCGTGTTTTAAAAGAACTCTTGCACAATAGAACTAGGTAATTGATATAGGCTAGGACTCTTATTGCTTGGATGAGGAATAAAATATCGTAGGGTCTTGAACTTTCATCTGGCTTTGGAAAATTGGACTGTTATTTTGAGCTCAGTTTATCATATTAATAATTATTATCTTCATTAATTAAAATCATCTTAATTAAATTAAGACATTTCATAAATAATAATTATATTATTATTATTGCTTTAATACTTAGGAAAATTAAATAGATGAGGACATCTAAATAATTACCTTTTTAATCATTAACTTGATAAATAAATGAGTGTGGACACTCACTTAATTATCACATAAAATCGAGCTTACAATAAAAAAAATAACTTTATAAATCATTAAATTAAACATAAATAATATCCATAAAAATAATACTTAAGCATAAAATGAATGACATGAGTTTGGGGTGTTACAATCTACCCTTCTTAAAAATTTTTCGTCCCCAGAAAAAGTTCTTATTCCTAGAGTTCAACATAAGAAACGGCTTAGTCTTCTAACTACTTCCAACACTTCCATTCGAGTCAAGCTCCTCCTCAGCTGGCTCAACTTCAGTTGGGTCTTCTTCAGTGGTCTCCAATCCGGTCTCCAGTGGGATTTCCTTTTCTTCCCACAAGTTGCCTACTTTCAGAACTAAGTCGTAAAAGCTGACCACATCCTCATTCTTTCGATTTCCATCTCTCATACCTTCAATCAATAGCTCTATATAGAGTCTATT